GCTTTTGATTCAAGGAATTGAATTTATTGTCCCCTTCCTTGTACGGAACTTGAATGCATCCCATTCTCCAGGCTCTGTATGACTCCTATGGGTTTAGCATTTCTTGATTAGAATACAGTAGATAAAAAAAAATAGTGACTTCCTAGTTTGCTTATATGTTGTTTGGAAGTAGAAGGCCCAGTGTTCCTATACATCAAGTTGTACAAGGTTTGGCAGGATGTGGGTGTTTGGCTCGCCTCTTTCTACAAGAATTACTGCAACAGATGTATCCTTTATAGAGAATTGAGAGTGCACATCTCACCTTTGGCCCCACACACACTTTGTAGGTCCTGCCCTTCTATATGCAGCTTGTTGCACACACCTAACTACTTCATATTTTTACTTATTGCCTGCTGTTGCAGCCTTATTGAATTTTTTTTTGTATTTAACACTCATTGGAGTTGATTTGATAATGCTCCAGGATGAATCCAAATGTTTTCTCCAAATTATGGGTTAACACTGAATTTTAGGTCCTGATTATATGTATCTGATTATATTTTTAACTAACATAGTATATTTTAACCAATTATAAAATTATTTTTGTGCTTATTTGAGTTTTTTGTACTTAATTTGTTATTGGTTAGCATAAGAGCATGAATATGAGTTATAGTAAGGACTGACCTTAAAATCATAACTCTAGATTTCTCTCTTTCTCTAAATCAGTTATCTCTTTAGATGAAGCAAACCTTTCAACCACAACTTTGAACTCATTTCATATATTCATGCTAGTTAATAGGATGGGTAAAATTAGCAGCTTGGGTAATGATAGTCAGAATTTGTTTTTCAAGTTCAGAATGGCATGAGGATTGTATTCTTGAAATTCCATGATGATTGCTAAAAGAGAATACAAAGTTATTTTTTTTCTTTATTACCTGGAGAGAGATCCGGGGGTCAACGCCCCTGCGGCCCAGTCTGTAACCAGGCCTCATGGTGGATCAGGGCCTGATCAACCAGGCTGTTACTGCTGGCTGCATGCACTGCAACGTACAAGCCACAGCCCGGCTGGTCAGGTACTAACTTTAGGTGCTTGTGAAGTGCCTGCTTGAAGACAGCCAGAGGTCTGTTGGTAATCCCCCTTATGTATGCTGGGAGGCAGTTGAACAGTCTTGGGCCCCTGACACTTATTGTGTTGTCTCTTTAACGTGCTAGTGACACCCCTGCTTTTCATTGGGGGGATGTTGCATCGTCTGCCGAGTCTTTTGCTTTTGTAGAGAGTGATTTTCGTGTGCAAGTTTGGTACTAGTCCCTCTAAGATTTTCCAGGTGTATATAATCATGTATCTCTCCCGCCTGCATTCCAGGGAGTACAGGTTCAGGAACTTCAAGCGCTCCCAGTAACTGAGGTGTTTTATCTCAGTTATGTGTGCCGTGAAGGTTCTCTGTACATTTTCTAGGTCAGCAATTTCACCTGCCTTGAAAGGTGCTGCTAGTGTGCAGCAATATTCCAGCCTAGATAGAACAAGCGACCTGAAGAGTGTCATCATGGGCTTGGCATCCCTAGTTTTGAAGGCTCTCATTATCCATTCTGTCATTTTTCTAACAGATGCGATTGATACAATGTTATGGACCTTGAAGGTGAGATCCTCCGACATTATCATGGTGACACTTACGACATGATTACACAAAATTGGGAATACCATTTTTTATTTTGATAAATTATATCGGTATTATAAATATACCATTATCGAGTGCTCAAAAGAAAGTTACTTAATATGCAGGGCATTTTGGGCAAACTAAACATAAAGCTGGTTTGTTGTTTTACCAAATACATTCTAATTTTGTGTGTGTTCATTTTATGCATATATGAAGGACTCATATTTGTTTGGTAAAGCTTGGTCAAGAGCTGCTATCTTTATACGTATATGCTTCTAAGCTGTTGTGTTCTGAGCACCTCTGCAAAAACAGTGATTGTGTGTGAGGTGAAAGAGTTGAATGATGATGAAAGTATTTTCTTTTTGGGTCACCCTGCCTTGGTGGGAGATGGCCGACTTGTTAAAAAAAAAATCATAAAATACTTTTAAAATAGATGCTGATTTAACCTAAACAAAGTTTGAGTAATTTGCTGTAAGCTACTTACATTACAATTTGCTGTAAGCTACTTACATTACAATTTGCTGTAAGCTACTTACATTACATGCCAGATATTTCATTTATTCATTTGCATCAGGCTAATTTTACCCTAACCAATTCTATAACCATACAATATGCTGGTAAATGTCCATTTAATTCATCAGGTGAATATTAATCATACATCCCAAAAATTATGTCAGTAGTGTCCCTCCCCAAGAAACTAACCTTTCCCCACAATATCGCTGGCTCCACTCTACCTATGGTACTAACAGCAGATATCAAAAATACTGCTGCAACCGATGCAGAAGTCTTAAAAAAAAAAAAAGCCCCAGTGTGCCAGATCAACCAGATTATAATGGGTATGTGAGCTAGCCACAGCCTGGTTGAACAGATAACCAGCAAAGAAAACTAATTACATGTTCTGTACAGATGTCACAGATGCTGACCTAGGTTTGGAGAAGAACTTGTTCAGATGTCATACAGAGATTTGTCTTAGTTTGTACAAAGTAGTATGTGCCCAGAAATATCTAAGTCTGACCTATATGATTTTGCACCATCCTTCACTTACCAACTACACTTTCACCACCACCTTTCAGCACTATGTCCACCTATGGTTGTCTATAGCTGTTGTTTGTGAGTAACATCAAGTGAGGGGCACCTGTACTTATGATGAACTACAAGTTGCTCTTTAATTGCTAACTATATTGTTATTATACATACATCATGCAAGTATGTTAGGGATACAGCATTTACTAAGTTAGTTGGTATTCACTTATGGTAAAGCATGCTATAAATTATTCTAACATTCAAACTTTAATTACATTAACTTTTTTTCAATTTCTGCAACATCCATAGGTATTTTTACCTTTTATCTTGGTGCAATATCCTAAGCCTCGCCTGAAATTTCTGTACAACATCACAGCGTCACAATTAAGCTCTATACAAAATCCAGTCTTTCTTGCCTTAATCTCTACGCAATATCAGTCACCACAGGGCTCTGGTGGCCTGGTGGTTAACGCTCTCGCTTCACACGGTGAGGGCCTGGGTTCGATTCCCAGCCAGAGTAGAAACATTGGACGTGTTTCTTTCAACCTGTTGTCTATGTTCCCCATCAGTAAAATGGGTACCTGGGTGTTAGTCGACTGGTGTGGGTCGTATCCTGGGACACTGACCTAAGGAGGCCTGGTCACAGACCGGGCCGCGGGGGCGTTGACCCCCGGAACTCTCTCCAGGTCTCCAGGTAAACATGGCAGTTCAATATTCAAATTTCAGAGTACTAATTGAAGGCCAACATAGTTTTCAACTTTAACATGTTAGGTATGTTGACAAGAAACTTCAACTTCAAATGTAGCTACTGGTACTGTATGTGTGTGATAACCCACTGCAAGCAGAAATGGCAACACTTGTATTCACTGTGTGTGTATGTTAATAATTTACAATAAAACTTAATAACATTAGCTCAGGACTAGAGTTGTGAGCAGTGCTTTATGGCCCTTGTGGGTTTAGCACTAATTAAGATTATAATAATTGTGTTGCGAGGTGGTGTTGAGGTTGGAACCTGTCCTCTTCGTGAAAATTTTGTCAGGTCCTGCAGCAACACACAGTGATCATCACAGCTGTAACACAAGCATCACACCATTTCTCACACCAACACTCATCCTAGCACCAACACTTCCGAAGCATTGTTTCAAATGCATTTGTCAATTTTCACAGTATCATGGACAAAACAGGTACAACAGATTCATTCAGCTGCCATTTAAACTGATCCTATACCCAGAGATCATACAAAGCAGGTCAGCAAGTCCTTCACCCAGTCCCCTTCTCAGAAGAGCATTCTGTTAGCAGAATGTTGAAGTTCACATCCAGGGGAAAGATGTAATGGAAAATTCCAGTCCTGCTGCAATGCCATATAATGTGTAAGAGAACACTGGTCTTGTCTGTGAGAAAAGTCCAGCATCTGCTGGAAGTATTCAGGGGCTTAGTGAAAGGTATGTGTACCTAATGATGTTAAAAAATGTATACATGTACTGCTTTATGCAATGTACATTTTCATTAGTTTGTTTTATACAAATTACATGTACTACACCACTTTAGTTGGGTTTGGTTCCATGAAATAAATTTATTTTCAATAATTTATTTAAGTGCATTTTTCAATAATTCACGACAGTGCAGTAAGACCTCTCATTAACAGATTTCGGCAATTCAGACAAAAAATGATAGGACAAATGGAAGTATCGGACAAAAGTCTGTAATTCCAGATTTTGTCCTTAGTGATAATGTCTGGTTGTCTTCTGAACTATTGGACCAAGCCCAGTCAATGACTGAAGTTGATCTGGTATTACGCAGAGTGACCACATCCAAGATCTGTCTTGCTTTCGTTGTGTCCCTGAGCCATAGGCCATCCACACCAGTTTATTCTCACTCATGCATTCACTCTAATTTTCCCTGGGTTTAGAACATTTTGTGTACCTATTAACATCTAAAGCAAGTGGTCATGCCAAGAGGAAATGTATGGTTCTCAGTGTTAAGCAGAAACTAGTGGATTGTAGTACTACAAGTCACAATACCTGTGTTCTCAGTGTCTGGTTGCTTTCTGTAATCAGTAGACCAAGTCTGTTAGCTCAGAAGACAATCATAGAAAAATTAGTTTCATAATTTGGGTGTTTCAGACTGTCAGCAATGTTGCACCCCTCCCCCCCCCTCACCCCTTTCCCCAAATAGCCTGTTAATGAGAGATTCACTGTATGTGCAGGTTTTTTACCAAAATAATATGACATCCAGAAGAATGTTGTTAATATTACTCTTTGATATTCAGTATAAGCTAATTAACTTTTAACTACAGCATGTAGGGAACTTCTTGAATACTAACAAGTGGAAGAAAAACTTCAAAAGTTGCCATTATGACAATATAAATTTAATTACTCTACTTTTGGTTTCTTTTTCATTACCATATATCCTGCTAAAGTTGCTCCAATTCCAGCAGACAAGGATGCCATTATACCAGGACCATAGACAGTAATTTCTTGTGCTAGTCCTGTTAAGATTGGAGTTGTCATACCTGCCACAGCAGGAATACTTTGTCCAAAACCAGTTACTGACCCAATCTGAGAAAAAAATAAATGGTTTGATTATGCACAGCTTACGCAAGCTTATACTGTATTTACCCCGTTTCTACTTTTATGAGATACTCAAATTTTTAAAGTACTGGAAAAATGTAGCAAGTTTAACATAACATGAATGTGTTTCATAGCACTACACTCCACATTCATTAAGATAACGTTAAGCTACACTTTTGTCAAGCCTAATTACCTTTCATTTCCCTTACAAGTTTAGCACTTTCCTATGCATATACTGTGCTGTAATATGGTTACTGACAATATACTGGTAGTTTCATAGACTATGTGTAAAGTACTCCACATGAAGTAACAATCTCAATCCTTCCTTTCAACCAGTTTTTAGCCCTTCTCCATTCAGCCTTATTACCTCTTGTGTTGTTCACCCAAGTATAATTTCTCACTTACTTACCATATACCATACTTGCCTTTCTTCTCTGCCTGCCTTTCATACTCACAGATTTACTATACTTGCAGTTTTTACCAGTGTTATCTGTTCGTTCAACATGACGAGTCACTGACTTTGCATTTTACATTTTTCCTACTTCAAGGGAGGGGATGCACTGATCTGGCAAAGGACACTTGATCCAGGGAAATGGAGCTACCTTCCCATTCCTTGAATTAAACCATACTACCTCCTATTCCCCAGATGCTGTATAACCCAAATGGGTTCAGCATTTCCACATAATGAAATAATAGTACTTACATCTTGACAACATTATCATGCCCATATATATGTTCCTATACCATCCTCATATGCTCTGATTATGTCTTTGCTAAAATGCTGTACATCAGTATTTTATTAAAAAAAAAAGCAAGCACTAAATCCATACAGGTCATTCAGTGTTAAAGTACAGCTGTCCATACAAATTACGTATCTGACTTCTGTATTCACATATTGCAACCAGTGAAAGGTTCAATTATTAAGAAAACTCTAAACTCAATGGTTATACATATGCCTAAATATTTGTTTTGGTCAATTTCTTTTTAAATGCCAAAAGTACTGACTAGAGTAATATAAATACAGTCTCTGAAACCAAAAATGTATTATTTACAGGACTTCTAGGAATGTAACCCACCCACCTCTTACAAATTTGTAGGGATAACTGTACTGTATTTCATCTGCAGCACTGTATGACCCTTATGGGCTTAGTACTTGGTTATGATTATAATAATATATTTCAACTAATGATTTTTACCCTTGTGTTACTGGTGCTTCCCACCGTGACACATTTATCCATATACAATATTACCCAAACCCCTGAATATTTAGTTTGATAAGCTCTGAGGTATTTTTTTTTTTTTTTTTCAACAAGTCGGCCGTCTCCCACCACGGCAGGGTGACCCAAAAAAGAAAGAAAATCCCCAAAAAGAAAATACTTTCATCATCATTCAACACTTTCACCACACTCGCACATTATCACTGTTTTTGCAGAGGTGCTCAGAATACAACAGTCTAGAAGCATACACATATAAAGATACACAACATATCCCTCCAAACTGCCAATATCCCAAACCCCTCCTTTAAAGTGCAGGCATTGTACTTCCCATTTCCAGGACTCAAGTCCGACTATATGAAAATAACCGGTTTCCCTGAATCCCTTCACTAAATATTACCCTGCTCACACTCCAACAGATCGTCAGGTCCCAAGTACCATTCGTCTCCATTCACTCCTATCTAACACGCTCACGCACGCTTGCTGGAAGTCCAAGCCCCTTGCCACAAAACCTCCTTTACCCCCTCTCTCCAACCCTTTTGAGGACGACCCCTACCTCGCCTTCCTTCCCCTATAGATTTATATGCTTTCCATGTCATTCTACTTTGATCCATTCTCTCTAAATGACCAAACCACCTCAACAACCCCTCTTCTGCCCTCTGACTAATACTTTTATTAACTCCACACCTTCTCCTAATTTCCACACTCCGAATTTTCTGCATAATATTTACACCACACATTGCCCTTAAACAGGACATCTCCACTGCCTCCAACCGTCTCCTCGCTGCTGTATTTACCACCCAAGCTTCACACCCATATAAGAGTGTTGGTACTACTATACTTTCATACATTCCCTTCTTTGCCTCCATAGATAACGTTTTTTTTACTCCACATATACCTCAACGCACCACTCACCTTTTTTCCCTCATCAATTCTATGATTAACCTCATCCTTCATAAATCCATCTGCCGACACATCAACTCCCAAGTATCTGAAAACATTCACTTCTTCCATACTCCTCCTCCCCAATTTGATATCCAATTTTTCTTTATCTAAATCATTTGACACCCTCATCACCTTACTCTTTTCTATGTTCACTTTCAACTTTCTACCTTTACACACATTCCCAAACTCATCCACTAACCTTTGCAATTTTTCTTTAGAATCTCCCATAAGCACAGTATCATCAGCAAAAAGTAACTGTGTCAATTCCCATTTTGATTTTGATTCCCCAAAATTTAATCCCACCCCTCTCCCGAACACCCTAGCATTTACTTCCTTTACAACCCGTCTATAAATATATTAAACAACCATGGTGACATTACACATCCCTGTCTAAGACCTACTTTTACCGGGAAGTAGTCTCCCTCTCTTCTACACACCCTAACCTGAGCCTCACTATCCTCATAAAAACTCTTTACAGCATTTAATAACTTACCACCTATTCCATACACTTGCAACATCTGCCACATTGCTCCTCTATCCACTCTATCATATGCCTTTTCTAAATCCATAAATGCAATAAAAACTTCCCTACCTTTATCTAAATACTGTTCACATATATGCTTCAATGTAAACACTTGATCTACACATCCCCTACCCACTCTGAAACCTCCTTGCTCATCCGCAATCCTACATTCTGTCTTACCTCTAATTCTTTCAATTATAACCCTACCGTACACTTTTCCTGGTATACTCAGTAAGCTTATTCCTCTATAATTTTTACAGTCTCTTTTGCTTTGAGGTATGTACGTACTATATCAGCTATATGAGGGTCATTAAGGCTGCTGTCCTAGACTAACATTAGGGAGGCAGCTCTGTATGACCCTTACGCATTTAGCGCCTGGTTATAATTATAATAATAATATTAGGAATCGAGAAAGACATCAGTGGGTATAGGGAGATGAAGTAACCTTTCACTGGCCTTCACTCTTGTGAAAATTAAGAACGTCGTCAAGAGGGACACTAATGAAGAAGGGCTCAACATCAAGACTAAGGTACCATACAGGTCAGAAGAGGGTGAACATGTTCGATGAAGTCTCGAGAGTAACGGAAGTGAGCTGGAGAAAAAGTAAGAAGAAAGCGAGCGAGAGTTTTGGCCAGGCAAGAAAATAAGAGACAACCTCTGGAGGGAATGATAGGATGTAGAGGGAAATCAGGTTTATTGAGTTTTAGGAAGACATTAGAAATAAAGTAGGGAGGGACAAATAACATAGAAACATTGCACAAGATCAAAGTCAAGAGGACAGAGATCAGAAAGAGTCTGAAGGGTTACTTCTTCATCGCTCTAACATTAGGGACAGTTTAATCTTTAAAATAGGATTTAATTTTAACTAAAGTGCATATAAACACGTGCATTTCTTGGAGTACATACCCTGGAAATTTAATGCCTACTGTACTTAGTTATTACATGCCTATGAATTTAACATATAATTTTGTTTTACTAAGCAAAAGCAAAATTATTTACATATTAGATCAGTAACTGTCAGACTGATAATTACCTAGGCTCCTATCACAACCTCTGAAATAGCATCAATTATTAAATAACTCGAAAACTAAGCTAGTAACACAGGAAATACTATTATATACAAGAAAGCTGCAGAGATACTATATTATCCATATCTATACCTGGACAGCAGCGCTGTATAGCCCTTGTGGCTTAGCGCTTCTTTTTGATTATAATAATAATAATATACCTGGACATCTGGAGGGTATTCCAGGTGTCAATGCCCCCACGGCCTGATCCATGACCAGGCCTCGTGGTGGATCAGGGCCTGATCAACCAGGATTTACAGCAAGCATACAGAATCTCACTTCAGTTATCTCTTCCGCTCCATCACACTGACTCGACTGACTTTGATGCCTACTCTCAGCAACTGTGATTTTCCTTTTCCTTTTGCACTCTCTCTGACCCCCTACTAACCTATGCCCTTCACCCCATCATTATCTACACATTCCTCCTCTTTCACATCCCTATCTGTATGACCATTTCATGTATAGCACTTAATATGATTACACACATGGAGCATCACATACTATATTCTTGTATCCTTGATTTGCTACAATTACCCCAGTTTATATTAACCATAGTCTAACACCTCTGCTTTTTCAACCATCTTCCTTGCCTTTGATGTGCAGCATGAATGACTCTCGCAGGTTTAGTGCTTCATATAAACATAACAGTCTCCCTATTTTCTATTCACTTATGAATTAACACCTCTTCAGCACTAACAGCTAAGGTTAGTCTTTCTCTAAACATTCATGTCACACCAGCATTTGGACATATTGCTAGTTCTTGAAATGTCCCGAGAAAGTTACTTGATGAAATATATTTTGCTTTTGTCACCATTATTCAGGAGGATTTGATTTAATTTTAATGACATAAAATTACAAATTATACCTCATGATCTTTTCACTGTAAAAAAAAAATGCAAGAGGATTCTATACAACACTAACAAAATTGTCTGGCATGTAAATACACGTAGCAGAAAAGAAAAAATGACAAAGCTCTGTTTCCTTATCAGGAAGTAGTAATTTCTAAGCACAATGTATATGCAGGATGCTTACCTTCAAAGGATCACAGCGATTAATAACAATGGTTGACACACTGGTGCGTATAATAGTGTCACTGATACAGAGAGGAACCAATAAAATCAAAATTGAGGAAACTGTTGGAGCTAAGGTGAGCCCAAGAAGAGAGAGAACTTGTAGGACAGAGCTGTGAAACAGCTCAAGTTGTGAGTCATTATAAAACTGTGATAACTTTCCCGTGAAGAACCCAGCAACCGCTCCAACAATTCCCTGGTCAACAAAAAGAAGTGAAAAAGAAAATAGCATTACATTTTAGACATGCTGTATCAACAAACATAACACAATATTTACATGCAATTCCTGTACTATATTTACAAGTGCTTGTTTATCAATAATATAAGATTTCAGAACATCATTCACTTTACTGACCCTAAAACATGAAGGATTTTTGATCTAAGGAATTAAGCTATCCTTCCTCCCATTTCCCAGGTGCCATAACACTTATGGGCTCAGTGCTTCTCCATGATGAGAAGGATCATTTTCTAGGATGGCATACATAAATATCTATTTCTATATGTACATGTACAAGGTATACAGGCCTAGCTGACATCAATGACATACTACTATACAGAAAGCCCCTTGTTATGCAGAGTATTTCAGGCAAATTAGGTCAATTTTGTCCAAGGATGCAACCCACACCAGTCGGCTAACACCCAGGTACTCATTTTACCAATAGGTGAACAGGGACAACAGGTGTAAGGAAACATACTCAATGTTTCCACCCTTGCCGGGAATCAAACCTGGACTGGGCGGACCCTCAGCGTGTGAAGTGAGAGCTTTACCTATCAGGCCACAAAACACCTTAATGGGACATAAGCCTATCTAACATAGATATCACACTGGAGATCGGATGAACACCGTTAAGCTTGTTAAATTATGAACAAGTCTAAGCAGTACAGTATTATTTATTGATTTATTAATAACTCAAGTGTTAATAATGTAGATAGTGCAGTGCTGTATGCCCCTGGTGGTTTAATGCATCATTCTGATTATAATAATGTAGACAGTACCCTAGGTGAATGGGACAACAAGTGTAAGGAAATATGCCCAATGTTTCCATCCTTGCTGGGAGAGCACGTGTATGATCAGCACATTACATGAAGCAACTTTGGAGATAAATAATTTTAAGTGCTTTGAATTTAGTTTTATTATTCAGGAAAAAATTCAAAGGAGTGTATATATAACTGAAATGTGACAGTAGTTTTGTACTGTATACTGCATGTAGTGAGAGACTAGGAGTTATTATTAAGGGGGTGGGGGGAGTCACAAGTTTACCTGTGATACTCCAATATAGAAACTATGTATTGTGCCAAAACAAAAGCATTCACATTGCTAAATTCACAAACTAGTACGTATTTAGTCACTTAGTATTTAGTCAACTTACTCCACAATTTGTAATAATTTAGGGTTAAGAATTAATCTAAGTTTGCCCGAAATGCCTAGCCTTGCTAGATGTTCTAGTGGCTCCCTCTGTAATTAGTATTTTATTACATGTAAACCACACAATAACCAAAATCTGTAAACCCCGCATTGTAACCCTTATAGAGAATAAACTTTGATTTATACCAGTGAGGGTTTTTCAGCCAAGAAATTGGAACTACTATCTTCATGAATCAAACATGATTACCTCAGTCCTCAGGCCCTTTATGATCTCTACGGGTTTAGGGATTTCCATGAAAATAGTGAGGTGAAAAGTGTAATAATTTTTTATTAGTTATAATAAAAGTCTTATTCTTGTAATAATTCCTTTCCAATTTAGGAAGCCTGCTGCAGGGGCAATGATCCTCAGAAACTGAGTATTATAGCCTGTTACTTAAAACTAGAAAATAACACTTGAGTGACCCTTTTGGCTTTAGTACTTTCTATGAATGTAAACCTAGGATTGATTAATTTTTTATGAATACAATATGGTACCCTCAGTTAATAGAACAAAATATACAAAATATCTCACCTGAAATGACCCCTCAAGGAAGGTTCCTTGATGTTGGTGAGGGGCTCTTGATTTAGGGAATTGGATCTGTGCTCCAGTTCCCCGAATTAAGCCTGAATGCCTTCCACATCCCCCCCCCCCAGGCGCTGTATAATCCTCCGGGTTTAGCGCTTCCCCCTTGATTATAATAATAATAATAATCACCTGAAATGATATGATATAACCAATTGTCTTTGGACTTGCATCAAACATCTCATCAACTGACAGGACAAAGCTGGACCTGTAGGCAAAGGCAGCAAATGTGAGGAAAAAATCTATCATGAAAACATCTCCAAACACTTGCCAGTCAATGTCCTTTATGAAGTGAAATACTTGTTTCAGTGTCTCGGCTTCAGTCAATTTTGTATCTAACTGATCAGGAACTGGTTGATCCTCCAATGATTGTTCTTCCTGAACAAACTGCCGTGAATCTTTCTGTTCTAGCTGTCCTATGTCTATTTGCTCTTGAGACAAATGACCTTTGTCTTGACCAATGACCAAATGTTCCTCAGAGGACTCTTCCTTATCTGATTCTCTAGGCACTGGTGTGTGTCTAGGCTTGGCTCTTCCAGGTTGAGGAGCAGGGAGTACACCAGGAAGAAACACAAAGCACAAAACTGAAAGATAAAACATTATTAATCAACAAATCGTGGATGATAGAATAAGCAATGTATTAACTACATAAATACTATGCATTATTTTTTTTCACACAGGCGTTTATTGCTTGGTGGCTAAAGCTCTTGCTTCACATGGAGAGGATCGGGGTTAGATTCCTGGAAAGGGTAGAAACATTGGGCGTTTCCGTACACCAGTTGACTATGTCCCCCTTCGGTAAAATGAGTACCTCTGTGTTAATCGACTGGTGTGGGTCGCATCCTGAGACAAAACTGACCTAATTTGCCTGAAATGCTCTGCATAACAAATGGCTTTCTATATTCCCAGCTTATAAGTTGAACAGGTCTCATTAGACAGGCTCCAAATTTTCATCACTGGTGTGTGATAACTGGGTCAAGATTCTAAAAACAACTGGCATGTGCAGGTGCCCTATGTGACATTTGAAGGGTTATTCCCAGCATCCTGAAATGGCTCCAATATCTTCCAAAACCCTCTGAGATACAGCTGCAAATGTTATTATAATAATCTTTATTTCTACATGATATACAGACCTAGCTGACATCAATGACATACTATATAGAAAGCCCATGGTTATGCAGGTCATTTTGGGTAGCTTAGGTTAATTTTATCCCCCAGGATGCTGCCCACACCAGTCGGCTAACACCCAAGTACCATATCTTAACAGGTTGTCCCGGGCACTTTTGACATCTCCACTGCCCCAACCCACTGCCTCTTACTGACCTCCTTGCTGAAAGTTCCACCTGTGATACAGATTCTGACAGTTTAACAAAAACTAACTTGCTGCACCAACTGACTTTTTCCTTTTGCACTTCCCTCCTAACCATTTATGATCAAATTATATACATGAAGACATACAAGTGCAATAACCGAGATTTAGGTTTGTTTGAAGGTTGTAATAAGCCAAAAATAGGCCTCAAAATGAGCAATAATTAATTTTTGGTCGACTTTCCTGAGCAGTTTACCATTAAATAAGCAATTTCTAGGCCTATCTAAGCCTCTGCTGACCCTGAAATAGGCCTTAGTAAATGGCCACAAATACCAAAATCACAGTATGATGTGCTTCCTGTGGGCTTTCTGATTATTTATTTATTTATTAATTTGAACATGATACAGAGATGTACAAAGGAATACAGTAATTAAGTGTAACATGCCAAAACCCTTGTATGCAGAGCATTATGGGCAGGCTTAAAGTTAACTTAAGATTAACTAAGCAATGATATATTCAGTGGTAAAACATTGTAAACAGATTACAATTAAGCACAAATGAGTATTACAAAGACAGGTCATATGGTCATTTACTGTGTTGCTGTGCATTAAGTAGAATGGAGTATTCAGTTAGGTAATGTAATGAAAAATAATAAGTTTGATTGGGTCATAGGTTAAACTTTTATGAGATACAATTATGAGAAACATTTGTGAGATACAATTTATGAGATACAATTATTCAGTATTTATTTAGTTGTGGGTGAGTAAGTGATTTTTGAGAAGAGACTTGAATTTATAGACAGTGTTCCTTTTATATTCACAGGTAATGAATTCCAGATTTTAGGGTCTTTTATGTGCATTGAGTTTTTGCATAGTGTGAGATGGACACGAGGAACATCAAAGAGTGATCTGTGCCTTGTGTTATGGTTGTGTATTCTGTTGAGGTTGGTAAGGAGACGTTGGAGGGGAGGGTTTATATCTGAGTTAAGTGTTCTATGTACGTAGTAGGTGCAGTAATAAATATGGATGTTTTGTATGGTGAAGTAGGTTTAGAGTTTTGAATATTGGTGGAGTGTGCTGCCTGTAGTGGGAATTTGTTATCATTCTGACTGCAGCCTTTTGTTGGGTAATTAGTGGTCTGAGATAGTTTATTGTTGTAGAGCCCCATGCACAAATTCCACAGGTGAGATAGGGGTAAATAAGTGAGTGATACAGGGCCAGGAGGGCTGACTGTGGAACATAGTACCGTATCTTTGATAGTATGCCTACGGTCTTGGAAATTTTCTTGGAAATTTGTTGTATATGTGTTTGAAATTTTAATCTATTATCAAGGTGGATTCCTAAGAATTTTCCCTCTGTGAGCTTTGTGATAGATGATCCATTATCATTATGTTAAGAGGGACATCTGCAGCTCTGTTACCAAACTGAATGAAGTAAGTTTTGTCAATGTTTAGAGTAAGTTTGTTAGTCCTCATCCAGGTAGATATTTTCTGTAATTCGGTATTCACAGTATTGGCTAGCATGACTGGGCTCGGGTGAGAGCAGACGTCTGTAGTGTCATCTGCAAATAGTGTGGGGTTTGAGTAGTTGCGATGCATTTGGTAGGTCATTTATGTATATGAGAAAGAGAAGAGGGCCAAGGACACTTCCCTGTGGGACACCAACTGTAAATGGCTGTGCGGAAGAGTTTGCCCCATTTGTGTACACATATTGGCTTCTGTTGCTGAGGTATGACTAGGTAGTTGAGGGAGTGCCCTCTTATACCATAGTGTGACAATTTTATGTGGAGCAAGTCATGGTCAACTGTATCAAAAGCTTTACGTAAGTCAATGAAGATCCCCAGTGGGACTTCTTTTTTCTCTATTGCAGTGTATATATGTTCTAGCATGTGTATAATAGCATCATTAGTATTTTTATTAGGCCTGAACCCAAACTGACAGGGGTTGAGTATGTTGTGGGAGATGAGGTAAGAATAGATTCGCTTATGAATTAATTTTTCAAAGATTTTAGAGAGAGGGTGTAAGTTGGATATTGGCCTATAGTTATTCAAGTCTGTTTGGTCTCCTTTATGGGTCGGGGTGACCCTTGCTATTTTGAGAACTATAAGGTAGGTAGAGGATTCGATGGATTTGTTAAAGGTGTTGCAATGATTGGTGATAACACTTGTGACGCTTTTTTGTATACATGTATTGTAATATTATTGTATATTATTGTAATATTTTCATCTGCAGTAATTTAATGTAAAGGAGCTAAATTTAAATCTAAATAAAATTTAAAGAAATGACAATGTTATTAAGACGCCAGAATCCTGGCTTTTGTGCCCTTCTGGTTCCCCACCTTAAGAAAAATAAGGTGGGAATCCACCTGGCGGACAGTGGTTAGAGGCGCATCCCACATTCCCCCCCCCCCCTTGCATGAAGGAACAGGGAATCTACAATATTCGTTACCTGGAGTTCATTACCTATGTAACTTTTTCAGCTATCAAAACTTTGGGGCCCAGTCCCTGGACCCATTATGTACCTCTGTAATCTTTTGTTTTCCGCCCACAGGATGGGTATGGGGTACATAAAGATATTAAACTAAAAATTCTCTTCTCTCATGATTGTAGCCATGTATGAACGTAAGTAGCTTTACTTACAGGATTCATTACCTTTGTACCTAGTTCAGCTATCAAAACTTTGGGGGCCCAGTCCCTGGGCCCCATTATGTACCTCTGTAATCTGTAAATACCTTTGTAACTTGTAATGATTGTGACCAGATCTACCAGATTTCCTTTGTAACTTGCTCAGCTATCATAACTTTGGGGTCCAATCCCTGGACCCATTATTTACCTCTAATCTTTTGACTACCGCCCACAAGATGAGTATGGGGTGCATAATAAACATATTAAACTAACTCACCTTAGGCTATATAACCCTTGTAGGTTTTGCACTTAGTTATGATTATAATAATTCTCTTGCCTTCAGCTTCTGATAATTTACTAGCACAATCGACCCAAATGGCCCAATACTATCTAATAAAAAGAACTCTGAATTCTAGAAGTGAATCAGGTCAATTTGGGGCTTAATTTTTTAATAAAATGTTCAATTTTTAGAACCTCGCTAGTGAAGTTTGTTGCACTTTCAACGTAAATATCTGAATTAACAGATGAAAGGCTTTAATCAATGCTCAATGGATATTATACATCTACTCCATTAGTTTGTACATAGTATGTTAGTGTATCTAAACTAACTATTTGCATATTTTTTTTTCCTTGACTTAGTGAACTGGACTGGCCCGGTGGCCAATTTTGGCAGCGGTCATTCTGGCATATGGCTGGATAGTCCAGCAGCTCCGCTATCCTCATATTCTATTCTATTCTATTCTGATTCGCCGGAATGGTATCCCGCATATATTCTTATACGCAGCCCTATATTATCCAAACGAGTTTAGTGCTTAAATTTATATTATTATTACAATACCTACAATACTACAATATTCACAATACTACATCACCCACAATACTACTACACTATGCACAATAAACATAATTATGTTTATTGTGCATATTATTATTATTATAATCAAAAAGAAGCGCTAAGCCACAAGGGCTATACAGCTTATTGTGCACAGTGGCAGGATATGCACTTTTTTTTTTTTTACCACATTGGTCACTTCCTTCAAAGGTAGGGTGACCCATAAAGAAAACACGTCGACCATCATTCACCCAGATCTGTCCTTACTTCACACAATTCCTATATGTTTTATCACCACTTGACGCAAATATGATTGCAAATTTAAATACCAAAGTTAAGGGTGAAAACTGCAGCAGTGATGTAACACACGCGAGAGAAGCCGTCCTGAAGCTCTGTCAGATGACCTGAAAGAGAGGTCACATTATATATATATATATATATATTTTTTTTTAGTTTTACAAGCTAAGAGCTGTTATTCTACCTTAGTTCATTTCAAAGCCTAACACTATCTGTGGATGCGACCCCACAACAATCGACTAACACCCAGGTACCCACTTACTATTGGGTGAACAGGGGCAGCAGGTCTAAGGAAACATGCCCATTTCCACCTGTGCCGGGATTGATCCTAGGACCCTTAGTATGTGAGCTGAGAGCGCTCCCATCCTAAGAAACGTTCTACTTGGAGGCTTCGTTCCCTCAAAGTAATTTTTCAGTCAATCTTGTAAGAAATTCTTTTATCTTCAGCCGACGTCATCTACTGAGGCATGTTGGTCAAAATGTATCCTTCAATGCTTCAAACGTTAAAAAAAAAAAGTTCCTACAAGTAAGCCACATGGGGATGAAAATCTTTAGCTCTAGATTTTTCACACTCTCGTGTGTCGTCAGGAGCTATGAAATGTTGCAAGACAGCAACAGATAGGCGGGGAAATTTCCTGAGGCAAGGCATATAATATATATAACATATAAATATAATTATATATAACCCTCAAAGGAAGTTCCGGTTCCTTGATGCTGGTGAGGGGCTCTTGATCTAGGGAATTTGATCTGTGCTCCAGTTCCCTGAATTGAGCCTGAATGCCTTCCGGGTTATCATATGACCAAGACCCCTCGTCAGGGAACACTCATCCTGTTTCCTGACTAATCTTACCTAACCAACAGTAGACAAATATTAATCTTACCTCCTATTATCGGTCCCACAATGAAGGCTAGGCCTACTGCACGGTTGAAGGTTCCTCAGACGCCCTTGACTGACCTCGAGCTTCGGGCATAACATCAGCCAAACCCTTACGTCAGGGAAAGTGCTCTGTTTCCTTAAACTAAGATATTAACCTAACCAAACAGTAGAAAATACTAATCAAAAACATAATAATATCGGTACAATTAACCTAACTAAACACGTTGATAGGTTTAAGACGCACGCTGTCTAAGCAAAATCAGCCAGAGCTTTGCTGCACGTAGTAGCTGTTTGAGAATCTTGGAAGCATTCAAGCTCAATTGATTACATAACCAAACTCTGTGGAAAATTGTAAAATCTAAACATATAATTATTATTATTTTAAATATTATAACAATTATTATTATTATTAGAAACTCAAGGCAAGCGCTCAGACTGTGCATATACAGCGATGGAATGTTGGAAGTGCTTCAGCTTAATTGGATTACTGAACACAAGATGCAATTCCTATTCAAGAGCTCAAAAATCCATAGGCCCCTTTTCAACTATGTAGGTAACATTATTACAACATTGATCATGATTCGGCTTCAAGTACGTGAAGGGAATGACTTCATGGTACCACAGTTTCAAGGTTTCAGTCACGCAGTTCTCCAAAGGATGCAGAAAAGAGACTCGCCAATTCCAGAAACTGGCTACAATAAAAAAAATCATATCTGATAAGATAAAGATTTACTTTTTCGTAAAGGTTACAATGTTCAATTACAAATTTGGTTTGCCAAGTACAAAGAAAGCCACTATCATGCCGGTGCATTTCGGGCAGATACACAACAATTCGTCAACTTTGTCAGACCGAAAGGTCCATCTCAAGAATTTTCAAGAATCACTCGCTATGACTAAGATATTTTTCCCGAAGAGATAAAGGATGAAGAATGGGGGGGAGGGGAGGAGCTTCTGTGCTTGATGAACAGAAGGATGGGAATGAAGACCCTTGCCTCACATGGTGTGCTATCACGGTGCACAAAACATCCACCTGGAATCTATACTCTGCACAAATTATTATAATCATAACTAAGCGCTAAACCCACTACACTGACCGAAACATCCACCTGGGAGAAATACACACATCCTTCTGGGGCCTTTATTATTATTAAGGGGGAAGCGCTAAACCCGTAGGATTAAACAGCGCCTGAGGGGAGATGTGGAAGGTATTTAGGTTTAATTCAGGGAACTGGAGAACAGATCCAATTCCCTGGATCAAGAGCCCCTCACCAGCATCAAGGAACGTTCCTTGAGGGGCTCTGGGTCCTTGACACTGCAACTTATGAGTATCTTCACACTTAAGTGCTGGAATATTCTGCGATATTAATGTCGGTGTGATATTTAGAGAAGGCCTCTTCTGACTGGCTTTACACTTTCGAAACCAAAAGACTTGTATTAGATTTTGGGCTCTGTAGATGCAATTTTGCCTTTTAGTGAAGAAACTGGAATACTGGGTAACAGATAATAACTTAGTGCCTCTTCAGACTGACTTTATATCTTTAATTCTGATATTTAACTGCATCAGAAACTTGTTCTGTGCCTTTGCTATTCCCTGGGCAAACACTGAGACGGGGACCAGGAATCGTCTAGCATTATTATAATCAAATTATTATTATTATTATTAAGGGGAAGCGCTAAACCCGTAGGATTATACAGCGCCTGGGGGGGGGGGATGTGGAAGGCATTCAGGCTTAATTTGGGGAACTGGAGCACAGATCCAATTCCCTAAATCAAGAGCCCCTCACCAACATCAAGGAACCTTCCTTGAGGGGTATTATAATAAAAAAAAGAAGCGCTAAATCCACTAGGGTCATACAGCGCTGCAGTTCAACTAGGAAAATGTTAATAATTGTGCACTTTCAATTATTTTTATAGTACGTTATGAAGGTGTTCCGAAGTGCATACAAGAAGTTTCATAAAGTTTACCCAAAAATAGAGAAAAATAATGATTTTTTGACATGGCAGCGCCTTAGTAAAAAATTGTGCCAAATTGTTAATGTTTAGGATGCTGTAGTTGACTTTACATGAACAAAGACTCATAAATAATGAAGAAAATATTACTAATGGGAGAATAACTTACTTTTTGAGAAAATAAAATGTTATTTATGGATATAAACGTCACGAGACAGTGCTCCTTCCTCTCTCCCAAGTATAAAACACCGAATTTACTCACTAGTGGCATGATTTCAGCTGAAAAAAATCCCCCAAAAATCAACGAAATTAGGAGAGCAACGAGCAACATCCTCCCACGCCGGGTGTCTATGAGCAACTGCCTGGACACTTACAAGTTTCTACCTTCCAGCAGCTTGAGAAGATGCTGTGTAATATTTTCTAAACATTGACACAAAACTAACAATATACAAAAAAATAAAACTATACAAATGTAACGAAAATAACACGCTTAGTGTTAGTGCGTCACTTTGATGCTGTCATCGAATATAATGATGAAATAGCGATAAAACCTCTTAGAAAAATGATAGAAACAAACGGACTGCACCAAAATGTTGCCAGATTTATGCACTATTTTCTCTGTAAGATTTTTTTCAGTTTTTTTTAACAGATTTCTTCACTACACTTGTTCATTTCTTGAGGTAGAGAAGCTGGGCTTATGGGATAATTGGGATATCTTGCTCGGATTGGTGTGGTAAAGTTCGCTTGTGTATAGTTCAGGGCACTGATTAAATGAAGCGTTTTGCCATTCGTGGCTCTCTCAGAAGCCATTCGTGGCTCTCTCAGAAGCCATTCGTGGCTCCCTCAGAAGCCATTCGTGGCTCTCTCAGAAGCCATTCGTGGCGAAACGTTTCATTTTATGTCCTGAACTGTATACAAATGTCCTTTTCCATAGTACGTATGTACGTATCACCATACCATTTACAGCCTTTCTCGGATCTTGCAGAGACTAATATGTATTTAGCTTGTCTGTGAGTTATGTGAGTTATATTCCGTGAGTTATGTAAGTTTATTTAGTTACATAGATTATCATAAATAACAGCATATGTGTATAGTGCCTAGGATAATCCAAAAAAGTCAGAGTGACTTATTTCCATTGGGGTCATATTCCGTGAGTTATGTGAGTTATATTCCTTGAGTGAGTTATGCACGAGTTATGTGATTTACACACCACCAGAAATTATATATTGTGTAGAGGCTTTAACACAACGAGTTAACAGCAATATTAATTCACTGTTATCATTCAAAACTTTCGATCTTCTTAATAAATAAATCCTACCTCTACGGCCCTGGTATCCTGACCGCTTAATTGTCGTATCAGAATCAAATTACTATGTAATAAAAATAATTCTAAGTTCTTTACTTTCATTCCATATTATATCCGCGATGCACTGCAAGTCAGAGATTCAGAGTAAAGTTACATAAAACGGGAAATGTTCCCATTATCAGATAAACCAGCATAGAGCACTTTGTATACAAAAAAAAACTTTTGTTTATTATATAGATTTTTTGTTGTTAGACACGTGTAACATCTGGGCATCTGTTGTTGTTAGACACGTGTAACATCTGGGTATCTGTTGTTGTTAGACACATGTGTAACATCTGGGCATTTGTTGTTGTTAGACACATGTGTAACATCTGGGCATCTGTTGTTGTTAGACACATGTGTAACATCTGGGTATCTGTTGTTGTTAGACACATGTGTAACATCTGGGCATCTGTTGTTGTTAGACACATGTGTAACATCTGGGCATCTGTTGACGTTTCTCTAACCAGTGTCTATCAATACAAGGACACAATGTGAAGACTGTAGAATTATGTATAAAAAACGAGATAATCAGTCTTGTATATAGTTCTACAGACTTCACATTATGTCATTGAATTGTATTGATAGTCACTGGATGGTGAAACATCTACAAATAAAAATACCCAGTGTTGTACATGTCTAATTTTTCATCTTGCCGATATTGTATATCATTAATGTACAATAACACAAATGGTATAAAGCTTTTAATTTTTAAGGGGAGCATTGGTATAAACATTCCTATTCTCAAAAAATCTGAATTATCCTCGGATTAACATAAGTGTTTCATTAACCACTGATTAAAAATTACCTGTTATGATTCTGGAGACAACCATGACTAGTAAAGAATCAGAAGCTCCCAGGACAAAGTAACCCATAGCTGAAAGAGCCAGACCCAGCAATAGCAGCGGCCGTCGCCCATATTTGTCGCTACTACGACCCTGTAAACAGTAATAATAATAATAATAATAATAATAATAATAAACAACTTTATTTCTACAACTACATGATACAACTAATACAGTCCTAGTTAACATCAATGACATGCTATAAACAAAGCCCCTGGTTATGCAGAGTTTTGGTAACTTACGTTAATCATAGTTCCTTGATAATGTGAGAAATCACGAAAGCGCTGGGAATTTCATTACTTTTTCACAGTAGTTATTCTGCATATATATGTAAGATGATATGGAGTATTAACATCACACTATACGCACCACCAGAGGACAGGAAACCAACTGTAGAATGCCGTAGAATGAGCGTACAGCCCCACTCACCAGGGGAGACATACCAATACGACGCAGATGAACTACGAAGAGTGGAATGATCAGCATCACAGCAGCCAGATCCTAAGAAAAATATAATACACAACCTTAATAGCTTCAGTGACATTAAAAATATATACCATTCAAGACCACAGCTGACAAAGACTAGGCATCACTGCGTCATGTTAGCCACAGCACAAATTAAACTAACACAAGAAACAATGCAACGATACTGGGTCAAAAATCTATAAGTGTAGTTTTATTATAAACATTAGTACTACTCACCTATATGTGTCACTGTAGCATTGTACAGGGAAGTGTCACTGTAGCACTGTTTGGCATAAATCATGTACTTTATGTAGTTCATTCGGAGGGGAGTTCCACTTTTTATTATGCAATATTATTGTTCTGTTCTATGTTCGCCGGTATAATCGCCCAGTCCGGGCCTTTACCAGAGGTGGCCCGGCCTTGGCTCGCTTTCGCGGGAGTGTCTCAGACCAATGCCTGCCATGGGAGGAGGAACAAGTGCCTCCTCGTCTTTTGGGACCAACTGTCCCCAGGCCTAGCCCCATTCCCCGCTCCCACGGGGCTCGGAGGGAGAAGCTAGGCACCTTGGGCTGCCACAAACCCCGCCCACACTGGGCTCGAAGGGTGTGGCAGCTACATAGCAGCAGAATATGTCAGGGGGGTGCAAACGCAGCAAGCACTGCAGGAACCTTTTAGAGCCACACCCCAGCTTTGGGCCAAGTCCGAGCACTGGGTAAGCTCGAGAATGCTTCTTGCTGAGAGTGTTGCTGCTGCTACTTCACTTGTCCGTTGCACTCTCCTCTCCTGTGATGCAATATTAGATGTGCTCCTCTGAGGTCAAAAATGTTTGGAGTTCTTGTTTGCATATAAACACCAGTTTGAACATTACTTTATGCTTTAAGTATTTTGGTAGCACATGGATGTATTAGGTTGATCATCGTCGCAATTTTTTAAAGCTTAAAATAAAAGGTCTTACGAATACAACAGGATTTTGTGAAAAGTTTCTAAAGCCTCATCTCTCGAATGAAACTGCAGGCATGGGAGGATAAAAAAGGCGTTCCCAAAGATGACATGTTGATGCATTGTTGTCGCCCATCATAACTTTGGAATCCCACGGGCATTACCGAGACATTCTGTTCAAGATCATGGAAATCTAAGCAAATATGTTCCTCAGAATTAGGCACTGGCACCTAAAGTCAGTACCTGATCAGGCGGGCTGTGGTTCGTACGTCGGTCTGAGTGTGGCCAGCAGTAACAGCCCCTAGTTGATCAGATACTGATCCGCCAGGAGGCCTGGTCACAGATCGAGCCGCGGGGGCGTTGATCCCCGAAACTCTCTCCAGGTATACTCCAGGTAGATTGTTCAACATGATGAAAACTAATGAAAATGCATTTAAGGTTGATTAAATCTGAACACCTCTGAACTCTCCTAGTGATTAATATGTGAACGAAATAATTTTCTAGCTGTTCGAAGGTGTCAATATTATTTAATAATCGAAAATTTCCACGTATACTTTTAAGTAATACAGATGGTGAATGACTTGGGAAAAGCTCTCTAGGATAATGGGTAGTTAAGCTATAATGGTGAATAGACCTTAAATGTTTCACTAGTTACTAGGCTAGTAACTTACCAGAAACCCCACTAAGTATACGAGACGTTGTATGTTGCGTGCAGCAGTCATGTTGCTGAGGACTTCTGTATTCTCACTCACTTCTTGTCTGTTCACTCACTTCTTGTCTACTCACGTCCCATCTTACACCACATAAACACAGTTGACGGGGTACATACAACCCAGTAAATAGAACACCACTCGTATATTAAATAGGAATGACACAGGCAGAAACTGGCTCTGCAAGACGCTGTTTTAATACATAGTTACACTAGTAAAACATCCACTGTCATATATCCTTTAAAGTTTAATTCATATATTCAGACAATATATCTTTACCACTTATACATATCTATATTTCAAAGTGTAATATATATATTATTTTCATAGACAAGTGCACACATAATACAATGTTTAACAATAAAGGAATTATAAGAGTGAATGAGAGATATAAGCAAGTGAACAGTCTCTTCTGAACTGACAACAGTCTTGTTTATCAAAGGAAATCTGCTCTCCTGACTACACACAAGATAACAGAGTAATAGACTAAGGTGTAATCGCTGCTTATCTAAATGCCACCCTCACCCAGGTATATATTTAGCAAGCGATAAAAACTACAGTACTGCAACCAGCAATTTACTTATTGGTTTAATGACAAGAGGGCTATTAAACTTATTTTCATACTAATTAGCATACTTATTGCTGTTCACATTATAAAATTATGTAACTCAGAATGGCTGCATGCAAGCCAAAGACCTGGGAGTGATCATGTCGGAGGATCTCACCTTCAAGGACCATAACATTGTATCAATCGCATCTGCTAGAAAAATGACAGGATGGATAATGAGAACCTTCAAAACTAGGGATGCCAAGCCCATGATGACACTCTTCAGGTCACTTGTTTAATCTAGGCTGGAATATTGCTACACACTAACAGCACCTTTCAAGGCAGGTGAAATTGCTGACCTAGAAAATGTACAGAGAACCTTCACGGAGCGCATAACGGAGATAAAACACCTAAATTACTGGGAGCGCTTGAGGTTCCTGAACCTGTATTCCCTGGAACGCAGGCGGGAGATACATGATTATATACACCTGGAAAATCCTAGACGGACTAGTACCGAACTTGCACACGAAAATCACTCACTACGAAAGCAAAAGACTTGGCAGACGATGCAACATCCCCCCAATGAAAAGCAGGGGTGTCACTAGCACGTTAAGAGACCATACAATAAGTGTCAGGGGCCCGAGACTGTTCAACTGCCTCCCAGTATACATAAGGGGGATTACCAACAGACCCCTGGCAGTCTTCAAGCTGGCACTGGACAAGCACCTGAAGTTGGTTCCTGACCAGCCGGGCTGTGGCTCGTACGTTGGTTTGCGTGCAGCCAGCAGTAACAGCCTGGTTGATCAGGCTCTGATCCACCAGGAGGCCTGGTCACAGACCGGGCCGCGGGGGCGTTGACCCCCGGAACTCTCTCCAGGTAAACATGATCACAGAGGAACATGAGTACAGCAACAGGAGTCCAGAACTCGCAGTTCTTGAGTATTCTCCAATCTCATAAATTCAATAAAAATGATGGGCAATTCGCTCTTATTTCCATAATTAGTTTTGTTTTATGATGATGCAAATGTTTAAATTTTCAGATCAGTCACTAAGATTTTAGATTTTGCCACCGAAGTGGCTAGTTTATTGTGCACCCCATATCCATCCTGTGGACGGTAGCGCGAGAGCATATGGATACACAAAAGGCCTAGGAACTAGGCCCCAAAGGGTTAACAGGAATACATATGGATTTATATCTACATATCTATAGTTCACTTATCTGTTGCAAGCAAATTTAGGAAATTTGCTTAGTATATCTGGTATCTTATTTTCATTAATAAGATATCTTGACATGTCACATAGGTTATTATACTGTCTGTCTCTTTATTCCTCAATAAGTGGACAATTAAGCACATAGTGTTCAAGACAGTGACCATATGCCTGATCACATAATTTACATTTAGTTTGATCATCATCTGTGTGTCTCCCAAACTGCCAGAAGTACTTGTAACCAAGCCTAAGCCTGGCCACTACAACATCAGTCAGTGTTCACATTGCAAGTTGCTCCATAAACATACTTATCTACGTTCATGTTATCATAGTGGGTTATAGATCTACTCAGGCTTCTAACTGCATTCCTATAACAATAATTTTCATTATTTACTTCTCTCCTAACATTATTCCTAATGCAAGACACAGTTATACCAAAGTTATATTCTACATTCTCCTTCTGGGTACTCTTCTTGGCTAACATATCAACTTTATCATGAAGGAGTAATCCAATGTGTGATGGGATCCATAGCAATTGTACATTAATTCCTTTGTCCTTAATTTTTGAGTATCTATACCTGGCTTCCCCAATGAGCATGTTGTTGGAGTCATTATATGAGTCGAGAGCCTTCAATGGAAATGTTATTTAGCGGAAGGGAAGTGCTGAGGAAAGAGGCAGGTAAAAATATTAAGGTAAATCATAATGACAAGATATTATGGTAAATCATAATGACAAGATATTATGGTAAATCATAATGACAAGATATTATGGTAAATCATAATGACAAGATATTATGGTAAATCATAACGACAAGATATTATGGTAAATCATAATGACAAGATATTATGGTAAATCATAATGACAAGATATTATGGTAAATCATAATGACAAGATATTATGGTAAATCATAATGACAAGATATTATGGTAAATCATAATGACAAGATATTATGGTAAATCATAATGACAAGATATTATGGTAAATCATAATGACAAGATATTATGGTAAATCATAATGACAAGATATTATGGTAAATCATAATGACAAGATATTATGGTAAATCATAATGACGAGATATTATGGTAAATCATAATGACAAGATATTATGGTAAATCATAATGACAAGATATTATGGTAAATCATAATGACAAGATATGTCAGGGAACGAACACCAGTATCTCATGTTTATTATTAATGATTACTATTAATATTATAATTATTATTAATAGAAGCAATAGTAGTAGAAAAAGTAGTAGCATCAATAGTACTTAAAGGAGTAATAGCAGTACTAGTATTGAAAGTAACAATAGTAACAGAAATAGCAGCAGCAGAAGTTGTAGTAATAATAGTTAAAATATTATTATCAGTATTATTAGTTGTAGTAATATTGGACAGGAATAAACTCTGCATGGTTGGAAATAGGAAGTAACCAGGTTGCTTCTAAGGAAGTTCCATATCCTATGATCAAGAACCCTTCATCAGCATCCCCTCCATCTTCCTGGAACGTACCTCAATGACCAGTAACATGCACATTAGAGGCAAGACTGGGTCTAACAGCGGTATCACAACGTATGCAATGCAAAACTGCGTAAATGTCAGACTCAGTATTGTTTAGATGAGACGCAGCAGGCACCTTATAGCCTAGTATTGTGTAGATGAGACGTAGCAGGCACCTTATAGCCTAGTATTGTGTAGATGAGACGTAGCAGGAACCTTATAGCCTAGTATTGTGTAGATGAGACGTAGCAGGCACCTTATAGCTTAGTATTGTGTAGATGAGACGTAGCAGGCACCTTATAGCCTAGTATTGTGTAGATGAGACGTAGCAGGCATCTTATAGCTTAGTATTGTGTAGATGAGACGTAGCAGGCACCTTATAGCCTAGTATTGTGTAGATGAGACGTAGCAGGCACCTTATAGCTTAGTATTGTGTAGATGAGACTTAGCAGGCACCTTATAGCCTAGTATTGTGTAGATGAGACGTAGCAGGAACCTTATAGCCTAGTATTGTGTAGATGAGACGTAGCAGGCACCTTATAGCCTAGTATTATGTAGATGAGACGTAGCAGGCACCTTATAGCTTAGTATTGTGTAGATGAGACGTAGCAGGCACCTTATAGCCTAGTATTGTGTAGATGAGACGTAGCAGGAACCTTATAGCCTAGTATTGTGTAGATGAGACGTAGTAGGCACCTTATAGCCTAGTATTATGTAGATGAGACGTAGCAGGCACCTTATAGCTTAGTATTGTGTAGATGAGACGTAGCAGGCACCTTATAGCCTAGTATTGTGTAGATGAGACGTAGCAGGAACCTTGAAGACTAGTATTGTGTAGATAAGTGTTGATGAGACAGAGCAGGAACCCTGACATAAGTATTATCTCTTACCATAATAACGAATTGCATTATCGTCACCATGATGCTGCATTACTGTGATGTTACATTACCATCACCATGACATAACATCAAAAAGTAAACACTTTGCTGTACCTCGGTAAACAGAAAATAAAATACCGTAAGATAATAAGAAGATAAGCTAGGATATGATAATATGCTAGGATAAAGTAAAATATCAATCATTCATTAGATGAAAGGAATAATACCGAGAGTTTGTTGAGTAGGACACAGGAGCAACACTTGGGTGTCTTTAATGACACATATCACACCTGCGCAGCTTTAGTAACGGAATACAGAACTACCATGGTGAGGGAGTTAATAAATGGTTATAATCGTAACAATAAAGACGTGGACCGGTAAGCCAGCGAAAGGCCTTGGTCAGATGACCAAAAGCTCCAGCTGTGGGTCATCATATGACTAAGATCCTCGTCAGGAAACACTTGTCCTGTTTCCTGACAAACATTACCTACCTAACTACCATGGTAAGATGACCCAGTGTTGGCAGCACAAACCTCACCAATATGGTAAGGTGACTCAGTGATGAGGTTTCAGAAAGACAGATGGTACATATGAAACTGGAATGGGATCATTTATTAATGCTTCTCGAATGATTTAATCTGTACACGGGTATTGTTTCGTGTCATGTTTTCCTTGCATTGTTATTCCATGACAGTGCGTATGGTGGCAGGTCTCCTCTTACCACTCTCTGTGGTCTCCGAGTCAATATTGTGAGAGCCAGTCATCACACCTTAATTGGTACACAATACTTCCCCTGGGAGCCGCAACCCTCCCAGTCTCTAACCAGGATCCTTCACACTCTTATTTACACTCTCCTCCCACTGACTCCCTCTTTACCCAACCACCTCCACTGCCTTCCTTCCCCCTCCCCCTTCTACCCCTCTATTTATGGGGAAGGGCAAAAGGGTGGATACTCAGGCATCCCGAGACGAATGGGTAAGTAAGTCACCTGAGTACTTTATATTGTCACACACATTAAGTAAATCCATCATTTTTGCCTAGTAAAAGGTTGTAAATACTTCATATTTTTGTAACTCAGAGGTAATATATTAAGCAGGTGCCGTAATTACGTATCCCAGAAGGATACCTAAATAAAAATTAAAGAGGTTTGTTGAATTTTTGTTCTTTTTTTCTTTTCTCGTCTTCCTCCAACTTCATATAATTTATTTCGCTCATAAGCGAGAACATCTCATTCAGTTGGCTTCAAATTTTCGACATTTGTGTACGGTAACGAGGACCAAATTCTTGGAAAAATTGGCACGTCCACGTGCGCTAAGA